TATGGAGTTCTACGAGGCGACGATATCCGAATATTTAAAAATTGTAGAAGGGCTCTTGGAATTTCCGGTAGGAGCTTCAGTCTACCCACTGTCTTTTCGCGTGCATACGGGTTCAAGTTTCGGATGTTTTAAAGTAACCAAAATTTAGGATAATATTGCAGATTTTCATCCTGAGAGCCACTTGCAACTGTTGAACGAACTTTATTTTGTAACTCTTTCTTGTCATGGCCTTTGTTCAGTTTGCAAATTGGATGAGAAGGTTAAAGAGATAATCGAAACCTGGGAAGTCAATCTTGGAAGGACACTGTTTGGAAATGCCGAAAAATTGTTGATGGGTATTTCTTTTTATCAAGCAAAATTATTCACATTTCATTGCGTTTTACCATCATTCATGAAATTTTATTTGCGCTTGTAGAGGAATTCATCAATTTTTCGACGCGTCAACAAAAAGCAAAAATGTCGTCGCTAAATCAATTCAAGGATATACGTGCATTTATGATAAACGCTGTAACAAGGCTAAGGGATTATTTGACAAATGATTGTTTGAGAATAATAAAGGTATTTCTTTAAGGGGTGTGCTCGACGTCGACATCATTCATTTATTCATTTTTTTCTCTTGACAAAACAGGAATGCGTTAAAACCGAAGTTCCAATGATACAAAATAGCATCGAGGATTTCCTGACAATGTTTCAAGCTCAGCTTCGAAATTTTTGGCATTCACTCGTTAAATCTATGACTGTATGTGAAACATTCATCACGAGCTTCATTTCAAAAATTTCCAACAATTGCATCTCATCTCATCAATCATACTTATTTTTCTTCACAAACAAGAAATTCGTGTCTCCGAAAATTCCACAACCTCAAGATCAGCAGATTTCACAACCCCCAGCAATCGTAGTATTAGTAATGTCGCGAATATTATTAGATTTTGGTGAAATCGTCGTATCCCAGGTGTATACATCCTATTCCGATAGATTATATCCTCAGCGTGATAGTAATGTTACCATTGGAATGAACGTTTATGATGGATACAATCAAAGAAACTTAATTGCCAAGGAGTTTGCCCAAGATGTCAGGGAAATTGTTGGACTTTGCAAGGATGTCGCTCAAGTATGTTTAGAATAATCACATTATTGATGAACATCTATTTTTTAATATTAAAAAAAAATCAAAAAAAAAATTATTTTTTTTTAGAGGACCTTAGAACGCTATGTGGAAATTGTAGGAAATAAATTATCTAGTGATATTCGATACCTTTATTCATCGTATACTTCAATGTCTTTGAGCTCTAATGGCGTTGATGATAGCATATCAAAAACCCAACCCAGCAAGGTGTCGGAAATATGGTTGAAAACCATCTCTGAACTGACTTATGTTGAAAAGGAAGCTATAATGTTGTATGAATCCCATGATGAAGAGGAGGATGAAAGCATTAATGAAAATTCAAGTAATTTATTGTTCCATCAACAGAATGACATTTATATATTTTAATTGCCTCATTAATGTTAACTCATATTTACTTACCGTACACAAATAGCAATGCAACAGAATAAGGGTGATGCGCAATCGATGTACCTCGACCCATCATCGGCAATTCGTCCTACGGGCGAACCATCCCCGAATGTCACCAGCGGCAACAACACATTACTTAAACCACCATATTCGCACTCAAATTCATCATATTCTTCGGTGAATTCTGGTCGAGCGAAAACATCGCCGAATCCTTTTGCCAGTCAAGTACACCTAATGTCTCATATAGATAAGCTGTTTTCGGATAGAATCGAGGTGTACGGAATTGTGGATTTTACAAAATTTGGAATTGTGATGGGTGTAGTCAAGATTCTGCTGAAGGTATGCTCTATGATCACAAGATGTTGATGTTTAAGATTTGGTCGAGATAGATTGATGCACATTTCTTGTTCACAATTGTCACGCTAGACATGGATCGAAACCATTAGGATGCAAACATTGACAAATCAAGAATTTCAGCAAATTCAGATTGATTCCGAATATATGCGAATTAAACTATGGAAATTTGTTGAAGATGAAAGGTACCTTTTTCTAATACGTTTTATTTTTTTTGAATTCTAACTATCGAGTAATCGAACTTTTTGCATAACTATAGACTTGGGATAATGAATACAATGTTGCAAGAGTTGGCGTCAAGTGCGTTTAGGAGGTGTGCCGAAGAACCTTTGCCATTGGAGAATTCGGTTTGTTTGTTAAATTATTTTTCAATTATTTTGCGATATCAACGTGCTCTTATCAACATTATTTTTTTCTGTCCAGATTATTGAAAAAATTGTCAATGGATCATAAATGTTTGACTCCTTTGCTTTAATTGATTTGTCATAGAGTAATTTAATTCGCGAATGTATTTAAATTATTATAATTGGATCGATTGATGAGATTATTATTTAATAGTTGTAAAACATTGAATTAATATGTAGATTATGCAAGTAGCATTTAATCTTGTAGTTGTTTCATGTGAACGCCTATAATTTAAAATTTACTCCTCACATGCAATCACTGACAAATGTCGGAGCGAGAAATAAACTACCACTAAAGGTGTTTTGTCCCGACCCTGACATTCAATCGGGGTAATCGGAAGTTTAACAATGTTAACATCCATGCGAATCTGTCATTTTCTTTATTTAGAATTCAGGAGATGACATTAATCAATAATTCAGACACAGGTTTGTGTGGGAATCATCAATGAACAAGATTCAGTGAAATTTGGGTCATTTTTTGTTGTGCGAACCTCACGACTTCTATCTTGATATTACCATCTGTACTGAGCACCATAAGCCGAATCTCATAACAATTGGTCCTTTTTCCTCGATCCTTCTTGCATGTATTCGTCAATAGAGCAACAAACCCCCGAGTTTCATGATCATAGCATTTTTATGTTTACTTAATAAATATGTGCAACCGTATAATGAAATAACAAAAAAATTTTTTAAATTTTAAGACAATTATTTTATTTCTTTTTTATTTTTCGAAATATATATTATATTGTATATTCCTTATTTTAAAAATGACTTCACCCCATTTGATTTTATTTTGTAGCGTTCGAACGGCTAATACTTAAAAATTATGCTGGTCTTCTTATTTAAGACTTAATTAACAAAGATTTCTACTGTAGTAAAAAGTCTTAAGAAAACATATATGCACGGTGCACACACTTTACAGATTTTGAATTTGTCAAACCAGTTTTTATTTCTACATATTCTATTTATGTAATTTGCAGAAATAAGAGATCACATTGTTTATCAATTATTTGTCTCAACTTCTAGAAAGACATTCTTAAACAAATTAGATTTCTTAACACTTCGGTTTATTTTCCTTGAAAGCGTACGCCCGATTTGGATTATTGAGGGCATGAACGCATGAGGACAACTCTTCATTGACCTAGCCACATGTTTGGTACCTCCCGAGGGCTTATCACTGGATAATCTCTCCAAAAAAACCAATTTCTATATATAATTGGTGCCCATTTTGTCTTGTACAAATATATCATATAATTGCATTACTTTTTTTCTTTCCTTTCTCACACCGCAAGTCAACTTCTTTTTTTTTTTTCGGCAAAGATCTTTCTTTCATTTTAAGATGTCTTCTAATTCAACAGACCATGATCACGGTGGCCATGGAGGTGACGGTGAATTTACATGTTCCAATAGTGTAAGTGTCTTTAGGCAACTCGAACAATTTTCTCACAAATCTTTTGAGGACACAAACCCACGAAGATGACAATGTTATTTTAGATGCTCTTCAATTGGGAATACAGAAACCTTTGTATTGTTTTTTCTTGGTGGGGAGTAAATTCTATTCCTGGTTTGATCCTTTCTTGCGCCATTATCTGTATACTTGCGATAACTTTCGAAGTGTTGAGATTTGTATCAAGAAAATATGATGAAAAGATATACCTATCAGGACACCGTCCATTGGAAGAGGAGACCGCTAATGCCTCTACAAGTACAAATACTGGAAATAGCCGCCCAGTGAGGTACGCAGAACGACATTACATCTGTATGACATTTTCACAAGCAAAAAAACCAATTTTCACATTATCTACCTATCGCCCATACATAGAATAACCCACATCCAACAAATAATGCGTTCACTTATTTACTCTATCCAAGTGCTCCTGTCATTTTTCCTCATGTTGATGTTTATGACCTATAATGGATTCGTCATGATCAGCGTAGTAATTGGTGCAGGTATTGGTTATTTTTTTTTCGGGAGGCATGTCCTCACAAAAGTCGAAGTTGGGGAAAGGGACGTCATAGGATGTCACTAGTATCAAAGCCAAAACAATTACATGTGAATTCCAAAGAAAAGCGCTGGTAACTTGATGATGATTTTAGATTTTATTTAGCATTCAGTTTGTGTATTATCAACCCACGTTAATTGATTTTTATTTAGTATTCAATTTATGTATCATTAACCTATGTTAATCGAATTTTTGCTAATAACAAAAAAAACCCCGATTCCTCTTATTATCTTTTGAATATGTCTAATTTGAATAAAAGTTTTTTATTACGTGCTAACAATATCATGCTAGTAGAAATCTCGATCACGCTCTTTATCGCGTCTTTTCAATGTTTCTTCTTCCTCGACTCTCTTGGTGCTTCGATCACCCATGATATCTATAAAAACTGTTGTACCTAACCACCTTGGTTCCTTCATATCTCCTGGGCACTGTTTCAGTTCATTATAGATTTTATCTAGAATCGATTTATTTTGTTCCCATTTTTTCTTTTGCAATCCCTTATACGAAATGGTGATTGATACGTTATATCCTTTCATCAGCCAACCTTTTGTTCGTTTGATCATATGATTTAAATCATGCTCTTCCACCTTCCAATGTATTTGTAATTCTTTGGTATTCGGCTTTGGTATGTTGGGTTTCGACTTCAACTCCTTTCGCTTTTTAAAATAGGTTCGTTTGCTCAAAAGTTTACACACCGGCGGATTGGAATGTGAATCCACCTCCACCAACCAATACTCATTTCTGTCGAAAGACTTTAACACTTCTTTTAACGGTCGGATTCCTTCCAGCATACCCTCCAAATTAACAAATTTGATGTAGGCATGATTAATATCCTCGTCATGAGTGAATGGTATATCGAAGTTTACTGAAGATGGTGAAAAGGAGCGTGGTAGAGAAGTAGCGAAGAAGCGAGATTGGATAGTAACGTTAAAGTTCAAGTTGGGTTGAGTAATATTTTTCCAAACACCATTAAAACTCGTGATGCTCGAAAGTTTCCTATGGTCTTTAATTAATCGTGAAGAAGAAAAGTATTTTAAATTAATGGTAGGTAAAATGAAACGAAATGTTCTTGCATTCATGACCAACAAAATGTTTTTTATTGATAATCGCATTTGGTTGAGCTAAGAAAATTTTGTGTTAAGGGAATCACGTGAAAAAGTCAAAATGTGATCGTCGAAGATCAGTAATAATTCTTTTTAAATTAAAAAATCAATATTTTGTAGGTCCACCTTTAGATTTAATAACTGCTTTGATACATTAGATAAACCTAAAATTAAACAATATAAAATTTCTACATCTAAATTTATTTGCTCTTTTAATAGAATATAAATTACGTAATTTTTTTTTTAAATTAAAAGATAAATTTTCTTTTTTATATTTGACAATCCAAATGGTTTGTAAGATTTAACTAAAAAATAAAATATTATATTATTATTTATCAAGTAATATATAGCTTTAATTATAATAGGCCGTGGACCTATTTCAGTAAGCCAATCATTAATAAATAATAATCATTATTAAAATATCACACATATTATAAATACTCACTGATTGGTTTAGGCTCTAAGAATTAAAGAAGTTGGGGACAATGTGTAGAGCTGGTAAGCATCAGTTGCCTGACTACCAAATCATCAAAGGCCATAACTAGAAAATCAACTCCTGAACTTTTAATCTAGTAGGAGTAATAAATCACTAATATATCAATACTAGTATTATAGGTTCAATTTCAAGTAATAATAGCAGGCTGTAGACCTATTCCAGTAAGCCAATCATTAACAAATAACAACTATCACTAAAGTGTCACATATACTATAAATACTCACTGATCAGCCTGGGCTCTAAAAATTAAAGAAATTGGAGACAATGTATAAAGCTGGTAAGTATTAATTGCCTGACTATCAAATATGCATACTGTTAAAGACCATAACTAAGGAATTAACTCTCT